AGTACTATCTCAGTAGGACCAATTATTGTCTCCATTTTAATAAGGGACATCCCCATTTTAAGATGGAACAGTAATTGTTTATTTGGCAAAGAATTGGTTCCTTCTTGTCAATCAGGTCTCTGCCCAAAGAAATCTTTAGGGAGGCCTTCTCTAATCACCCTATTTGAAAGTCCACCCAAACTTTCTACTTTCTATCCCTGTAAATCATCGCATTTGTGACCTGATAGCCCTCCACCATCTGTAATTATCTTGCTTACTTACCTATTTACTGTCTGTCTTCTCCATTAGAAGCCAAGTCCCCCAAGGGCAGGGATCTTGTCTAACTTGTTCACTACCATATTCCCAGCAGTTAGCACAGTGCCTGGCACACAATGAGTGCTCAATACTTAGTGAATGAATCATTCAACGAATGACAGAACATAAGTTAACCTCAAGTGCAGTTACAAATATCTTCCTTGTAAAAGGAAAATTAGTGGCCGGTACAGACTATTTAAAAAAACAAAAAAAAATTACAAGATAGTAGTAGTTAAAAGCATACAGTCAAAATAACCTAGGTTTGAATCCTGGTTCTTATCATTGTGTGATCTTGGGCAAATTATTTAATCGACATCTTAATTTTCTCATCTATAAAATAGGGATAACATGTCTACTTAACAGAATGATCATAAGGAAAAATTATATAATTAGCACAATTTCTGGAATAAAAACAGCAATTAGTATGTTGGCTATTACAAAAATGCTAGTATAGGAAACAAACGTTTAACTAATTGGACTCTCACGCTACCCAAGAAAGTCACTGGGAGAAGTAAAACAAGTAGGCATGAAAGATAAAAAAACTAATTAATTTTATGGTATCTAGTAATCTCTATAAGTGAACTAAGATGAGTGACCTTTTGATTCTATATCATGCGTAGCAGCAAAACTGGCATTTTGAATAATGGGTCAACACTTTAAATGGAGGTCAGTAAGAAAATGAATTCTCTTCATTCAATTTGGGTTAGTGGTTGTCTTGGGATGCCAGTAATAGCAATTTTTCTGGTCTAGAAAGAATTTGTTCTGTTACTAAACAATTTTTAAATTATACTTTTGGGATCACTCAGCTGATCCTAACAGGGAAGTTACTGCCCCCCCCGCCCCAAGTAGTCTTAGTTTCCATACAGTCAGCCTAAACTTACACCTCAAGCTCAGAGTACACTTGAGAGCTTACCTTGATTAGCACTAAATATAATATAATGACTGCATATATACTGTTTTATTTTAAACAAACACTCTGAGAACGACAGTGATAAAAGAGGAAAAAAACCCAAACAACCAGGGAAGTAGGTAAGAGAAAAATAACTAGGAAAAGAGGGGGAAAAAAAGCTTTAAAATCACTAACTTGAAAAGAGCAAAATCATTCTAAAGGAAAAAATTTTCATATACACTTACGAAGAAGTTAGTAATAAATGGGAAATGAATGTTCTTTTTCATGTATATAGTTGCTTAACTCTTCAGCTTCATCCTTGGCTTTGACTTTCACCTCTAAACTATGGCCCCAACCTAGGCCTAGAGATTTTCATCCACCACTTACAAGATTTAGCTTAACTCCTTCAAGAAGCCTTCTGACACTTCTAAGCCTGGGTTATATATTCCTTCTATGAATTCTTATGGTGCATCTTCCTAACATAGCATATATCACACTGTATTAATATCAATCTGTTTACTTTCTTATTATTGTATCTCTAGTAGAAATGAATGTTAAATAGCAATCATTAAAGGGTAAATGTGTTGTGCAATGATATATCTGAGTTTTGAATTTTTTGCTGTCTCCCAAAAGTTACAGAAAATGTCAGTTTCTGGCTCAGAAATTTCAAAAGAACACTGACAAGGAAAGTAAGAACTATACAAAGTATAAAATGTTTTATTACATATTTTGTCTTTTTCAGAATACCAACTCTATTTTAGTCAACGGATGTAAACCAATAAGAGAATCTGTCTGCTTACAAATTGTATTAATAGTAAAAGAGTTTCACCCTTCCTACTATATACTGAATTATATATTTAAAGAAATAGCCAAAATGGCACCAAATTCTTAGCCTACCCACAATCCTCAGACTTGACCCTAATCTTAGCACACAGCACTAACACACAGCAGGTCTGCAATAAATAATTCGTTAAGTGAATGAACCAAAAAACCATTTTAAAGCATGTGACTGATATCTTCTTATATTAATTTCATTACCTGCATACTCATAAAACCAAGCCAGGCACTTCTTGCTTGAAAAATGTTCCTCTCCACTTATTAGTCTAGCAGGGGGTTGGGATCTGCAATAGCTTAGAAAACACACAAATGCCTAAGAATTTTATCAAGTCTTAACTTTTAGCGAAAAGCTAAGTTCAATATGAACCACTTCAGTTCAAACTAAACAAAGTATTGTTTTACAGCTGGCGTTAGAAGAAAAAAATTGGAGTTGTTTAGTATTTGCAATTTGAAACAATAGTCTATACATTAAAATCTCTGGCTACCAAAACCCAAATGCTACTTTGCTCATTATCAAATTCCAAAAATATCAACTAAAATTATGTCCCCAGATTTCAAAAGATCACACAGAAATTCAACCTAATGCTCTCAATGCAGGACTGGTAGTTGGGAAAATAAAAATCTTTATAGTGATTCTTCTGCTGATTTGCATGGAAATTATATTTGTGAATAATAGATATACATTTGAAAACAAAATCTTACAAAGTATATTTTGATAATGAATCACTATTTCAAAATAAAATTATATATTAAGAGTTTATTTATCGTCTACTAAGCTTAAATAGATATTTAAAGATAAAAGATGATTTAGGACCTATGGGTAGAATTAAATTCCACAGATTTAAAAAAAAAGTTCCACAAAAAAACTCCAAAAGATAGAGAAAGTAGAAATAATTGGACTAAAGCAATTTAATCCCAGAATCTGTTTATCTTTTTCATAAAATCATTAAAAGTTAGGAATTTTATAAATGTCCTCTAGGAGTTGATGAACTTCAGAGAAACTTTTCTCAAGGAGCTCAAATAGTTATAATTACCATAATGACACAGAAATGCTATAACTTCTGCAACTGAGTAATGTAATGCAATGTAAAATAAGGGTACCATATTTAAAATTTTAAGTTGATAGAGCAAAGTATCACCTGAGTTCCAATAATATCGACTGCTCAGCTATTTTAATGTGCTTAATTTAAATAATTTTGATACATTATACACTTAAGATGGCTACAAGTTAGAACACTAAAAAAAACAATTTGCAAATTTCATAAAAACATGAGCTAGTGGAGTAACCATGTTAAATTGTAGTCTGAGTTACCAAGAGGTATAAGAAAACAGCATCACCTTTCATAGAAATAGCCCAAGAAATGGGCTATTTTGCTAAACACAGTAATGAAGGAAAAACATTCAACCAATTACGAAAAGAAGATGCAGACTAAATAGTCACCGACCTCACATTTTAAGCACATCCCTCTTTAAGGAGAGCTCTATTATAACCTCTTTATAATGCTAGCTACAGTCTTCTTTTAATGGTAGCATCTGAAGATGACACATCAAGTGTCAACTACTGATACAGTTAAAGATATCCAATAAGGGGAATTAACAAAACCCACTTCTCACACCTAAATTGCAATGAATTTTTGCAGCATACAAGGTTGCTGTGATGCCTCAATGACAAGATACAATGGGGTCAAAGAGCCATAACTACAGCTCTGCTTTGTTTTCTTTTTCTCTAAGAAGATACAGAGTACAATAGCTTTCAAGTTATTAATATTTATATCGAGAGCTAACAGTAACCTGAATGCTAGAGCAGAAAACGCAGGCAGGGCCTTTCCAACTCTGCACATAGGGACTTGGCGCAGGTGGAGGCACTATACTTCCAGAAAATGCGGCTCCTGCGATTTAAAGGCCTCCTGCTGGGCTCATCCAGGTCAGACCACGCCAAATATTACTGGAGGCCAATTATAGCACAGGGAGCTTTCCTTTCTTTCTGCCATCCCCACGGCAGTTGTCAGGTCAAGAGTGCTCATGCTCTGCTCCTTTCACCCAACGCTACAAAGAAATTTTAGAAGTGACCCTTCCGCGCATCTGTACTCACTTCTAGGTCTGGAAAGAAGGCCGGGGGTGGGGTGGGCTGGGGGAGATTGGAGGGAGTAGCCGGTCAAGGGAAAGAGCGCAATTTACGTACGCAGTCCTGTTTCCCCACCCTCCAGGGCACGCAGACTCCACTGGGAGGCGACTCTTCGGTCCCTCCATAGGCGCCAGGCGCACGCACCGAACACGCGGTGGAGCCGGCGCAGAGCCTCGCTGGGCTCTGCACCCACCTCCCGGGTTACCTCTTCCCCAGCCCGAGCCCCGGGGACCGGGCCCCCCTCCTCCTCCTCTTGCCATCCAGCAAAGGAGGAAGAAGGAAAGATTGAAGGGTGGGGGGAAGTGGTACCTGGAGATTTTACACTTTTTGAGGCCTCCGTCTTCCGCTACTGCCGCTGCCACCCCAGGGGATTTTCTCTTCTTCTTCACTGGCATCTTCCGCCCTCCCCGGCAGGGCGGGCCGGGGAGCCGGGGAAGGGGATCGCTGTCCGCTGAAGACTCCTCAGTGCTGACACCGGGTTCCCAGAGACAGCAGCAAGGGAAGGAGCAGAGTCGCCAGCCCGCACCAGAGCGGCCCGGGCCGGCCGCCGCCCGCTCCCAGGTCGCCTCCTCGTCCTCCTCTGCTCGGGGCAGGGGGTCCTCCTCGCCGGTGGACACTGCGGCTTGGTCACACCGGCAAGAGAGAGCGCGGCACCTCCACCAGTCACAGATTCCGAGAGCAGGAGGCTCCGTCTGACCTGGATGCGAATCGCCCAGGGCCGGAAGTGACGCAGGCGCAGAGCCGGTCGCCGGGAGGGGCGTGGCTCTGGGTGGCCCGGGCTCGCCGTCCGCCAGGCTGAGCGACGCTGTGTGGCCGTCGGAAGTGCAGAAATCGTGTACTGTTGGCCTGTTGAGCGCCTTTGGTTGGCCAGGCTATCCCGACCTTACTCGCGAAGCTTCCGCCTTGTCCTAATGCCGGTATTCACCCCCAAGAAATGTTTTATGAAACCACTAATACTCTGCAGTTGGCGTTAAAAATAACCTGGTAAAGTAAACCAAGTGTCACTTCTGAGCTCTTCCATTCAGTAGCTCAATTAAGCGCACGTTAGTTGTTCCCCACCCCTTAAATGATTGTTTTCTTTATGGGCCGGCGCTCAGGCTCCCGCTCTCCCACCTCCACTTCTCCGCCATACCTGACTTCCGCGTATCACCTTTCCCCTTAGAAAAACTTAGCTCTACCATTTCTATTTCTACAGAGATCACCTCTCAGACAAGAGTAGGTGATCGCTGACCCAGTAAAGAGGAATTTGGGGGACAATTCTAAGGGGCCTTTCCCCAATCCTTACTACCCAATTCACTTGTAATCGCTCCAGCTCCACTTAAGTATTCTTTATAAATAAAACTTATTGCATGTAAAGATTATATAGTAGAAAGTCGTTTTAGTCAATATATATGTGTAAAATAAGTTCACACCTGTAAACCAACTGTTATGGGAGAGGACTGAAAGTCTCTTTAAATTCAGTAACAGTTGATGTGGTTCTGGTGAGACTGCCTCCACCTTGGCACCCTCATCTGGCCAATCAGAATATCATATTTCCCTAGTGCCCTTAATTGGTTCAGAATGGACAGGGGACTCAAGACCTGCCAGTCAGTGCCATGACATGACATTGAACAATCAGGAAGCAACTTTATTTCCTATAGACTTTAACTTGAGATGATGTGGAGAATGAAGCCAGAACTCAGAGAGATAGAATCAAACAGAAGGACAAAAACCAAGACATGATTTTATGATATGAGTCCTGAATCTATGATATGCCCTGGTATTTTCAGATGCATGAGCCAATAAATCTCACTATTTTGCGAATGCAATTAAGTTCTGTTACTTACAACCAAAAGAATGTTGTTCTTGAATGCTGTAATCCTACAACCCAATTAAAAATGTGTGAGGCCAAAAAATCAAATCTGAATAAGATCAAGTCTCTAAAAAGAGATGCCATCTGTAAGTAGTGGATGGAGGAACATGTTAACAATAGAATCAGCAAAATCTAGATTGTCAGAAAATCTGCAGACTAAATAACCCAGATTCCACAACAAATTATTAGAGAGGGAGAGATAAATTTTAAAAGACAGATCAATCACTTTCCATATGTGGTTCTTATTTGAATCTTGATTCAAATAATTTAATCAATATCATGACATTTATGAGGCAATAGGAAATGTGAACACTAGCTGATATTGGTGAAATACTAGAACAGGCAAAACTTTTCTATAAGACAGCATATCAGTGATGCTTGGGGACTGGGATGGGATGAGGATGGAGGGGGAAGACTGACTGCAAAGAGGTACCAGGGAACTTTTTGGATAATAGACATATTCTATGTGTTGATTGAGGTGGTGGTATATATACTTGTTGAAACTCATTGAACTATACAATTAAAAATGTATGCCCTTTATTGTATGACTATTACTCCTCAGTAAAGTTGATATAAAAAGTGTGAAACCCCCCCCCAAAAAAACCCACAAAACAAAACAATGACAAAACACCATTAGAAATAACCAAGCTGATTTCTTCAATAAGTGAGCTGCAAAAGCTAAATATCCCTTTTTCCAAATAGGACAAAGGAAATGGAATAAAATTCTAAAGGATGAAGAGTAAGACCTTGGAGGACAATGTTTAAGGGATATCCCTCCAGAGAGCAGAATTAAGGCCTAATGATGGGTAAGAAACCTTCATAATGTCTGTCTAGCAGGATACCAGCATTGCTATGGACCAGTGACAACTATACATCTTTGATTCTTTTCTAAATAGGAATATTTATTGTGGTTATCGTGTCCACTCTCCACTGTTGTTTATTGCATGAGAGCGGGAAGCAGATAATTGTCTCTTGTTCACAGGTCACTGGATGATAAAGAACTACTTCTAGACCTAAGGAAGAAGACCCGACCATACCTGTAGATTCTGGAGATTCAGCTGAATGCAGTGACTGGATAGGAGCCTACTTGCATCTATAGAATTCTCTGAAAAATAGATAAAAGACTGGCTTTATGTATGGTATTCATTCATCCAGTCTGTTATTCAAATAATATTTAATGATCACTTAACCCAGGAACTGTGCTGGGTTTAAGGATATAAAAGGGAGGCAGGACTCCTGCATTCATGAAGCTTACAGTCTGGAGGGGGAAATATATGCGGCCTATTTCTAGTCAAGAGAACGTTATGAACAAAGAATAGTGTCAGTAATCTATACTTGTCAATGACATTAAGGAGAGGGTGATTTCCAGGTTCATGTAGACCATTTTCTTCATTGTCTTCTCTGATCAGTATCTATTGCCACCACCATACCTCCATTCTCAAAATGAAGCATTCCTTCATCCCAATTACTCTCACAGAAGGGGCATATTGATAGCATCACTGCCTGTGAGCAGGATAGAAATGCCTACTTATATGGTTTTGATCTTTTCTGATGCTTACCAAAACACGAATAGTACATTATTTTCCATCAAGAAGGCACCTATAATGGAGAAACAAACTATGACAGAGTACTGTGGTTCTCTGTCGTGTAGTAGAATTTTTTAATAAAGTCATGAGAAGGGAGGGATAAAGCATTTACTTTAAGCAGAAACTCATGAGTTCTGGTTTCAGACCCAAAGAAGATACTCAGTGACTTTAGGTAAGACACATAACTTCCTTTATCCTTCTTCTTATCCTACTGTTACATAGAAGGATATAGTAAAAAAACGACTAAATAATATCCATTTCTAAAGATGGTAGATGTATATTTATGCCAAATAGCACAGTAGGCAAAAAGACTTGAGCCTGAGCCATAGCTCTGTCATCTATTTGACATGTTGGTTATACACACATCCTTTAGCTCTTGGGGGTTATAGAACGAAGCCATTAAAAACAGCTTTTAAAATAGTTGTATTTGTATTAAAGCAGCCAAAAATAGTGCCCTAAAATGTGTTAATTTATATATTGTTTATTTTATTTCATTTCATTTTTTCTTAACACCTCCTTAAAATAGGGCATTTCCACTTGCCAGAAAAACAAGCAACACAGAAATTAAGTGTTTTATGGGATGCCACATGTTATTGTGGTCCTGGATCTATAAAAATGCTCTCCATACATTAACACTGATTTTCAAAACAACCTTCTAGGTCAAAATTTTGTAAAATATTTCCATGCCTGTAAACCCAGAGAAATGGGATGTTAAAACAGGACTTTCTGTTTTGGAGCTTCATTAAAGCCCATGAGAACTCCTAGTGTTTTAGAGAGGGTTAACAGTGCAGAACTATGTAACACAGACCATGTACCCCATACCTCCTAAAGCAGTGTGCCAGAGTACATCAATTGCAGCCTGACTGTGGCCCTGGTGCACTCTGGGACCTAGCCTGAGGCAGTACCACTATCTGGAACATTGCTTGTCATCATGACAGACAGACGGAAAGGAAAACATGGTGAACCCCATGCTGGCTGTTAAAGGTTCTGCTCTGAAGTGGCTTGTATCACTTCTGTTCAAGTCACACACCTGAGGCTACTCTTGAGTTCATCAAGATAGGAATGTGTAATCCTCTGGCAGAGAAGGGCACCAAATAAAGATAAATACAGTCTACAAGAGTATGGGATTAGAATGAGATTTTATCCAAAATCCAGGGAAGAAAGTTCACAGAGCAGTTTTAACGGGGCAGTAGGGAAAAGCATAAGATTGGTTTCTACTTATACCTCACTGTGGCAGATTTTCTTTTCCAAAGATGGTTGAAATGATATCTCTCAACCCACACGTTCTTCTAGACCCTTGCCACTCCCTATCAAGAATGGAGTCTAATTAATAAAAATAATGATAAATCAATATTGGCTCATGAATTGTGAGAAATGTACCATACTAATGTAAGATGTTAAGAATAGGGGAAATTGGGTGTGGGATATATGGCAACTTTCTGTATTATCATTACAAATTTTTTTGTAAATCTAAAACTCTTTTAAATACAAACTTTATTTTTAAAAAAGTCAAAGTCAACAGAAATCAATAAATAAAAATTTAAAACTAGTAGAGTGTGGGAAGAAAGTAATAAGTCAAGAGAGAGCCACTTAGGTTCGATGCCTTTAGAAAGGTCAGAATTCATAAAATTCTGGATGTGGGATCATAGGAAGAAAGCATTGTCTGGCCTATCAGGTGGCCCCAGACAAAGCACTTTCAACTTGAAATTTAACCAAGAGGACTAAGAATAAGTGCTCAGCAGGGAAATCATATTAAGATGGACACTTGATTTGCCTTCCAACATGTGAATATGTACCCCAAATGAAGAAAAGTAGTTCACAAAATTAAAATTACTGGCAGAGAGTGTATTGTTTTGATGACTTGCTGCAGAGAAGAACTCTTTTTGAATGAGTGGTAGAGAAGACCAAAAGTGAGTGCAGGCAGCTTGTGTGTAGGTGTGTTCTTATAAGCATTTTACAGTCTTAAGCATAGATGTTTGTCATGTTTTTGTCACGCTGTTTACTTCCCAAATTTAATATTGGAAAGATGGCATAGTGGAAATGGTTTCTTAAAATGAGAACCACCGTTAGACTGATGGATTTGCCTTTTTTAACTTTGCAATCTCGTATAAAAAACATAATCACGTTGTGACTCAGTTTTGCCATCTGTATGATAAAATAATAATGTATGCCTTATCTAGACATGACAGCAGTGCATTGTTGAAAAAATAGGAAAATAAATGTGAAACTGCTATTAAAACTAAGGGGTACATAATGATGATCAGCTGGATACATCATTATGTATTCATACATAGTCCTTAGGGTCCTTGGGTCCACCCAACAAAAATGAAGTTCTACTGGTCTAGAAAGGGGATTTATTTAAGGTGGTCCACAGAATCAAAGGAAGGGATTGCAAAGAAGGAGGCATGTAAAAGGGGTGAGTTGCCCTATTTTTCCATCCAAATTCTGGTAATGGTGCTTTCCTTGCCATGTCACCATCACCTTTCTGAATGTCAAAAGACCCTGTCTTTAGTTTCAGGGATCCTAACCACGTTCTTAGCCATTAAAAATAGGGTTGTCTACACAGGCCAGTTTGAATAGCACTCAGCAAATTCTCCGGTTGTGGTTACGCATCACTTCTTTGGAAAATCCATAGGTGACATGTGGGCAGTTACTGAAGGTCCTCACTATTCAGCACACAGCAGATTAGTTCACATGAACTCATTCCCTCATCTCTAGCCTCATAGAGAGCTTCTCCAAGTTTGAGCCTGTCTAACTCTTGAATGTGTCTCCTAGCCAAGATAACCTTCAATTGTTATGGCATAAACTCTATGCTCTGCCTCTTTCAGGGCCCGGACTTCTAATGTGCAAGAGCCTTCTTGTCTTTAAAGAAAATATTGCTCATGGGAATCAAAAGTTTTGGCTTTCAACCGCATTTTTTTAATATCGGGGGTTTCAAGGGCATATTTTGAAAGTAAAACTAAACAACTGTTTTTCATTTCTGATTTTACAGTAATAATTCTCCTTGAGGCAATGAGAATGACAGTGACTATAATGATCATGAGGAAGAATGTACAAAAAAGAAAAGCACAAAAAAATTTTTTCAAGATATTTTCTCTCTATGGGCTAAACAACCAGAGAATTCTCTGACAATCTTCACTGAACTCTTCCACATTCTGTATGCAGCTAAGGCTTCCATCTGCACATCCTCCTGGTATAACCTACACCTGGGACCAGCTGCGTAATCTGCGAGGCCCAGAGCAAAATGAAAATGCAGAGTCCCTTTTTCAAAAATTATTTAATGCTCTGTGTAAGCATACTATTAAACCAAGTGCAAGCCCTTCTAAGCACAGAGGCTTGTTCGACTGCATACATTGCATGCTCTTGAAGCCAGCCTTGCACACACCTTTAAAGCAAGTCAAGGCCTGAGTGATCCACAGGTTCATCCAATGGAGCTCCAGGTTTCTGTGTCAAAGAGTGCTATGTGTTCATTAAAAGTCATTCTTTCTTATTCTGGAGACACAGTAAGATTACATTTCCCACCCTCTCCTGCAGTCAAGAATTGCCATGAAAATCTCCTGCATAAGGCTTCACTCTTTACCTGCTAATCAGCCAGATTCAAATAACTCAGGAGAGAATTCTACTATCCTAAGGGATAATGGAGCCACAAAATGGCAAAGGTCTAGATCCCTGAATCATCACATGGAAGACTGCCTGCCGAGGACCACAAAGAACTGTCAAATGAAGGAGAAATAAAGTTCTACTGTGTTAAGCCACTGAAATTTTGGGGTTGTTCATTGTAACATTTGCCATACCTTGACCAAATCTGTCAAGACGAAGCTATGCGACAATAACAAGTGACACTAAAATCTCAATATCTATGATAAGAACAAGTTTATTTCTTGTTTATGGTATGCCATGAAGAAGACTATACTCATCCTAGCTACTCAGGGAGCTAAGCTGATAAAAAGTTCATCTTGACTTCTGCTTCCACAATCACCACAGCAGTGGGAAAGAAGCATGGTAAATCATACATTGGCTTTTAGGTTTTCTGTGCATATGTGATATATCACTTTGACTTACATTTCAAAGGTCAAAACAAGTCAAATGGTTGTGACTATCTTTAAAAAGAGTAAAAAAGTGCAGTCCTACTATGTGCTAAGAAAGGGGAAATCCAGACATATTTAGTAAATGACAGTAATTCTACCACATGAATGTAGACATTGGTGATTGGAAGGAGGGTGCTGCCATACAGAACTTAAAATATGTTGTGTAGAGTAAGTAGTCAGGTAGCAAAGAAACAGAATGGCAGGCTGGTTAGCCACAGAGCTCTAGTGTGCTTCAGTAAAATATTTAGTAAAATTGTCCCCAGAGAGAAGTAGAAGTTGACCATGAGCCTAGTGAGACTCTAACTCTATGGGAAGTAGATGGAGGTAGAGTGTTAGCATGTTGGTTACAGTTATCTGCCTTTAGCAAGATATTACAAGAAATAGGGGAGCTCAGAGGACCACTGGTTGGTTTTCTAGAAGAAATAGAAGAGTACTAAGGGATTCTAGAGATCGAAGTCCTTTCAGGGCTAGAAAAGTTTACTGCTCCTAGACCCTGAGCAATAAGAGAGAAGACTAGAAAAAGTTTTAAGTGACAAAGGCACTAAAAGGTCTCTCAGTTTAAAAAAAAAACGTAGGGCCGGCCTGGTGGTGCAGCAGTTATGTTCGCACCTTCCGCTTCAGCTGCCCAGGGTTCTCCGGTTCGGATCCTGGGTGCGGACATGGCACTGCTTGGCAAGCCATGCTGTGGTAGGTGTCCCACATATAAAGTAGAGGAAGATGGGCACAGATGTTAGCTCAGGGCCAGTCCTCCTCAGCAAAAAGAGGATGATTGGTGGCAGATGTTAGCTCAGGGCTAATCTTCCTCAAAAAAAAAAAGTGACATTCTTTTTGCAAAGATTAGGTTAAGAGTTTTAACCTTGCCATTCAAACCTCTTGTTTCAGATAGCCTCAAAATAGCTTCGTTAGCTTGAGAGAGAGGGGCATGTGTACGAGGAAGCAAAGAAATAAATTATTCTTGAGAATTATATATAGGAAAGAATTAGAATGTGGAATTTAGAATATGGAACTAAAAGCAAATACATCAGAAAGCCTACTAAGTTTTTAAAGGAATTGTATTGTTAAGGAAACCATGTGCTTAGACTAAAAAAAAAGACTTTGAGTCTTAAAACAACCATCAAGCTCCCAGAATTTCCTCCAGGAGGAAGTCCAGATAACTTACTTTTTTTAGTTTATAGGTTGCTGGACCATGAGGAACATATTTGAACCTCATAGAAGGGTGTGTGCATCACATGGAGATCTTAGATTCCTTTCCTTTCTCTAATAAAAGACTCCCCAAAATGTGTATTCATTGACTTCATAGCCCCATTTCTGACAAGAACACTACACATGTGATAGGAATCACTTTCGTTAGTTTCAGTGAATATGTTTCTTAAAGGTGTAAAATTTCAAATTTCATATTAGATATATTTAGGGATTAAAGGTGCCAAGCAATGCTTGGAAACTGGGAATTGTAACTTGGCTTCTTTTTCTGTAAATTTATCCTGAGCTATCCTGCTGAGTAAATTGATACTGCCAAGTTTTTGATGTTCTATTCTCATAGCAACAGGCTGTGATGTCAGAGGGTTATTTTATCACACAATTTATCCAAAAAAAGACGCTGGGCTGTGAAGCAGAAAGCTCTAATTTAACTGCATGTTATTCAACAATCCTTTTATGTAAATAAAAACGGAAATAGAACTAGAAAATAAAAGATTCAAAGTAATAGCTTATGTGAACATTTTTATTAATAGTTGTCATAGTATAAAAAAGCTTTCCCTTCTGCATTTTATATCAGTGGTTATGTATTTTTTAAACAATATTAAAGGGAACATTAGGGGAACAAAATTTGCTACCCCACAATGTGTCTCTTTGGGATGAGGGTTATTTTAAAGTGATTATTTTTAAGAAATGTAAAGACTCAGGAAGTTCTGCTTTTTACCTCCCTCTTAACTGGCTAAAGAATTTAGAAAAAGGGGCTGTTCCAGGAGAAGAGCTATGATCAAAGAATATAAGCTAGGTTTGGTAGAGTGGGAAAAACTTCACAAGGCCTGTATGATCAAAGTCCTCTGTATCCCATTGTCTCTGCATAGCATGGCAAATAATTGTTTACCAAACCATTGCTTTTCCCAATGTCGTACAAATTGTCTTCCTCCCCTTTGAACTCCAAATCCCTAACCCCTTCTCCTTAGCCTCCATTGCCTGAATTTCTGGGAACCTCATATCTTTGGGGTTCCCATACATATGTAATTAAGTTTGATTTTCTCTTGTTAATCTGTCTCATGTC